TATTAACGTGTTAAAATATTATTCAGTAATATTTGTTTTTAATAAAATTGGGTTTTTCTGTCAAAAAATGTCCAGGTGCGACACCCCTGGCCGAGGCAGAGCACGTAAAACCGTTAGTCCCGATCCTGATCTTAAAATAAAAATATACTATATTAAAATAGATTCTACAAGGACTTTTGAATCGTCGATTTTATATTTAAATTAAATGTCAGTATGTAAGTCCGTGAGTAATCCACCACCGGGTCGGAAGGCAGCTTAGCTGTTCATCCTAACTGTAGTATCAAGTGAGAAGGACAAAGTACACCTGTGTTTGCTCTCTCCCTCACACACTGCACTATAACCTAATTGGCAAGTCTCAGTAAAATGGACCGCAATAGGGAATATGCGTGGTTTTTATTATATTTATGCAAACTTACTCACACTCTCACATCGTTATATAAAAAATATCTAGCGCCATAAAACTAAAATTAGTATTTTTTGTTTTTAAATATCACACCGAAATAAAAATCATCTTTATTTAAATTACACGCATATTCCCTATTGCCCCAATCGGTTATCCATACAGATAAATAAAATTGAAGTGTTTGTTTGTAATGTCAAAATAACAGCTTTTTACTAAATGCATATGGAATTATATACGGTACTTATAAGAAAACACAATTTACAAAATTTTTGTCTGTTTGGCCGTCTGTTCCGACTAATCTCCGAAACGGTTGGACCGATTTTGACGGGACTTTTACTGGCAGATAGATGATATTAGAAGGAGTAACTTAGGCTACTTTTATTTTAGAAAAAGAATTAGGATTCCGCTCAAAAAAATTAAAACTTAACTAGGGACGCACCCGAGCGAAGAGGGAAAGTCTTTAGTCTATACTAATATTATAAAGAGGTAAAGTTTGTGAATTTTTTGTGAGTTTGTGACGTTGTAGGGGGTAATTTCTGGATCTACCAAACCGATTTAGATGAAGTTTGGTAAGAATATAGTTTAAGATCCTGGAAATGACATTGGTTACTTTTTATCCCGAAAATCATCCCTTAAGGGGATGAAAATGGGGATGAAAGTTTGTATGAGGAATCAACCTAGGGACGAACTAGAGCGAAGCGAGGGTGAGTCTCTAGTCATATAATATACTAAGACCGTTAACTAAAGTCTAACTTTAACGTCGACATTTGTTTATACCCACAATTAAATGTTAGAAGTTTCTACTATTGATAACGTAAATATTTCAGGATATAAATTAGAAACTATTTTTAAAAACAAATTCCGTACATATACTATTGCAGTTCATAATTTATTATAAAAAAAGCACTTAAATTATATTCTCTTGTTGAATCTTAACACTACGTTTAAACGATACACCCTGTTTTATTTAATCAGAATAAACTATTTGAATGGAAGATGCAAATTTTATTTAGAACTTTCATCATTTCTCTTTTTATGATATATTTCTTAGCAAGGTAATAATTTATATTAAAAAAAAATATCTCTTCAGATTTATTTTGATTTTTGATTCTCCAAATTTTTTTGTTTGGTTCAAAATAAATCCGGAAGGATAGTTTTATTTAAAATGTCCAATATTCGCGTAAATCTAAGAAAGTATTAATATTTATATTATAATGAAAAACAACATACATTATAAATAGAAATTATATTCAAAATATATAAGAAAATTAAATAAAAAGTCATTGAATGTGTCATCCAGTCTGCATATATTCACATACGTACTTACATATATTCAATTTAAGCCCCTTAATAAAACCCCTTCTCAAAATCACCCCTTATAAAAACCCAGGGGTATATTCAGGTAAGTAAGAAAAAGCACAAAATATACAAATGTCGCATTTATTGCATCTAATAAACAAAATTTGCACCTGTCCGTGATTTCGCTTACATTAAAATAATATAACAGTAAAGAAATCTTAACAACTATTATCACTAAAAATAACAACAAATCTTAGAAAGTGTTATAAAAACTAAATTTTTCTATTACTTTTTATAATTTTTATTCGGTGGTGAGTTAGAAATTTACGAAAATACATAATATATAAATTTTTTTGTCTTTAGATGTCAAAAAATTTAAGTAGATAATTAGATTCTGAAGTTACTTACAAAAAGAAAGAAAAAAAAAACAAAGTCAATCAAAATGTATAAAAAAAATACTATTTATATTTATTATAAATATACTTAAAATGTTAAAAAAAAGAAACGTCCGATTTATAAGCAAGAGTTTCAGCGCAAAAAAGACCTAACTATATATTTTTTTAATTATTATAACATTAATAGTACAAGTTTTACAATATCAATAAAACTTGTATTATTTATTAATAATAAGATGACGATGTATAACATCCAGTGAGACTTCTATAATTTGGAACCACTTGACTTCCGGTAAGACTAGTTATAGGTTGATAATAAATTAATTGTAAATAAAACATTTTTAATATCAAGCTATAATTTAAATGCTCTAAAAAAAAGAAAATAAACTTTATTAAATCAAACCCATCAATTTATTACATTACACAATTTATATGATATAAGAACTTGACGCATTCATTTTATATTATTGGGGTTTTTTGATTGGGGAGCATAATTCAAATTCAAAATATTTTATTCAGCATTAAATTATTACAATTATTATAATAAAAACATAGTCCGCCACCTTTGGGAGTCCGCCATATTGGATTTAGAATAATGTCACTTAGCTGACCATGCATTGTCATCCAAGCTAAACGTATATGAAAAAATTCAACTCAATACTTTAAAATTCAGTTGCAAGAAGTGATCCGAACAAACAAACATTGCAAGTTAAATAGAATCTTATAATATCAATATCAACAAGAAGTCGGAAATTATTTATATTATTATTAATATTATTGGTAAACAAAAAAGAAGTAAATATTATATGTATAAGCATATATTGCGCCCTCTAACGGATACTGTATATCGTCACATCCCTAATAAATAATAATAGATACATCTATAAAATAAAATACAAAACTAGCATTACTACCTCAATTAGCAATATAAAATGTACCTTGATATTTTATACATATTGTTTTAATTTCAAAAATATGACTTAAGCCATTTTTGCACTGACACTTGAGTCAAGTGAATTTGTAGTGTAAATAACTTCAGTATCTCAAACATTAATTTAGACCGTTTTAACGAGACAGGCGTAAAAAAAGACATTTATTTATCTGTACATATAAAAAATAAAAATTTTAATTTACACATATACTGAGTCGAATCTGTACATTTAATATTTTTTAATGAAATAGTCATTATTATCGATACAGAAGCCGCCTCTATAGTTTTTAGAATTTTCGTCTGTCTATCTGTCTGGGAACGCATCACGAGAAAACCACTGGACAGATTTTGATGGAATTTGATATGATGATAGCTGGTTATCCGGGTCAACATTTACGGGAAAATATCTCTCTATATAACTGTTAAAACGTACCTAGGGACGAACCCGAGCGAAGCGAGGGCGAGTCGCTAGTCATTAAATAAAACTATTTTCTTAGCTCACAATTTGCCTTTACTATGATTTAGGCCATATCAATAAAATATTTGTATTTTGATAAAAATATATTTTTATGTCTTGTCTACGTTATGTATGTATGTATACAGAGTGGAACAAAAGGGTAAAATTTAAATTACTGCATTATTTAAGATACTTTTTATCCATGTCCCGTTCATTTGTTCCATCCTGTATATATAATCTTTTGGCGTTAATAAATTTATCTAGTACCATCTTCAGATATAACGTAAGAAATAAAAAAAAACTATAAATTCATGTCATACACCTGTCCAGTTAAAACACACAAACATACATATATACAACTAATCATTTAATATATTAAAAGTGATTAAATCAGATCTTTAATTAAACATCGATTTCTACAACCAATACTACTGTAGAATACAAGAAAGAGATAAAAAGCGTGAGAGTAGATGAAAAAAAATCACTTGATTTTAAATATCTAGAGTGAAAATTTCATATAAATATTTATACAGAGTGGTAAGTTAATGCAAATGAATATCTAAACTTTTATATATATATATTATTATTTTTTTCCAAAAAATCTATTGTTTCTTGTATAATAAGATGAATTTTAAAGGCACACATTTAATTATATTTTTTCTGCGTAATAGTCATGGCTCTTTATTAAATGCTAAGACAGCGATATAAAATTAGATATAAGGGAAAATTTGTTAATAAAAAAAATTACCTCAATTTTACGTAACTAGCTTACCACCCTGTATTCACTCGTTTTATATACAAAGCGTAACGTTTTAATTTGTATTTATATCATTTAATGTTAGCTGAAACGCATCATTTGTACTGAATATGCTCTTTTCACTTAATTTTGTTACGTTCATCGATCAAAAAAGTACCAGATACACAATCAGCGACAAAAAATGTCCTCACCGAATGAGCGCTCATTTGTACATTTGAGCGCACTTTTTATATATTTTTTGTGAAAACTTTAAGCATTGCGTTTAAGGTTCAATTTGCATTGTATATTTATTTCAACTAGAATAATTACCTAAACACAATTGGTAGCAGTTATAACGAGAACTCTGTTTTTGTTTGTGTATGTATGTAGTACATTTTTGATCGATAGTTGTTATTATTAATTTTTCTAAAGTTTAAGAGTGAAGGCTTCAAGCTTAATGTACGTAACATATTGCGTGAATAAGACAACAATTTAACTTAACACTTAGTAGCATAATAGATAGATTATAATATCATTTGAATTTTATGATATTTTTATATAAAAAGAGCTAAAAAGTACAGATAACACATTCCAACTCACTACAACCGTATCCAGCCGGCAGTCGATTAAATTATAAAATGGAGTCAAATCAATAAATAATTACATTTTTAGGACGTGGTCGGTAAACGGATCTACAACACATATTGGTCCGATCTAAATACATATATAAAATATACATCTACCTGTCCGTCTGTTTAAGCTAGTATTATACTATACTAATATATCATTTTGTGTATTTTGAGGATCTTTCCGAGGCGCTGTTTCGCCGTCTTCATACCCTTTTTCAGTCTTATATCTGGAAAAAAATATATTACAATTTTACTTCGAAATTTTCAGCGACTGTCTGTCTGCTGGGAACGTATCTCGAGAAAACCACTGGACTGATTTTGATGAAATTTGGTATGATGATAGCTGGTTATTCGGGTCAACATATAGAATACTTTTTACTGTGAGAAAATATCTTATTTTCGAGAAATTTACACTAACCGTTAAAAGGTACAATAAAGACGAATCCGAGCGGAGTCAGGGTGAGTCACTAGTCCGTATTAATATTATAAAATGTGAAAGTTTGTGAGCATAGGAGCATGCAAAAAATAACATACGTTATTTTTTCACGCCAGAACGGCTGAACGGATCTGGATGAAATCTGGCATAGAGATAAATTATAGTCTAGATTCACACATGGGCTACCTTTTATACGGTTCCCGTGGGATAGGTTTGTTTTGGTTATAAACTACATATAATATAATTATGTATATAAAGTCGCTAGTATAATATAAATATATAAACCACTCACTCTTGCTGTTGGAGGCAGAGTGCGTGGGCGGCGGTGGCCGCTTGCTCTTCGTCGCTAGCACTGCTCGCTTCGCATTCTGGAATTGAGTTAGAAATTGATATACATATATGTATAAGCTTTTATTATGATACTAAATAGATTGCAACACTTTTTTATAAAATATTTCGAGCATTAAATGTTGTGTAAGTTTTACAAATATTTAAATACATAATAATTATTCAATAATCGAGTCAATACATAAAAGTTTCACATATAGCTATAAGTCTACATTTAGTTCAGATAAAATATATGGGTTGTTTCAGATAATACATTCACTTTTAATTTGGAAAAGAAGTAGGCATTTATTTAGATATTTCTTTCACTTTTTCAAAAAAAAAAACAATTGAAAAAATAACAAGAGTCGCATTAGGCATAGAATATTATTTTTAAATTTATTCCTTCTTTGGTATTCAAATTTCTTTTTACTTTCGTGCATACATGCCCGCGGCTTGTATCAATACATGCGTACCATGGCGCGCGCGTCGGGCGCGGGGTGTGCGTGCGCGTGCGCGCGGTGCGCGGCGGCGTGCAGCGCGGCGCGCACGCACTCGCGGCGCACGGCGGCGCGCGCCGGCCCGCGCGCGCGCGGCACCACGCGCCCCAGCCGCGCGCGCGGCGACCACGACTCGTCCCTGCCACACGAACACAATACTTAATTGCTAATCTATACAAATATATAAAAGTGTCTGTAATGTCAAAATAAGCTACATCAGCTTTTTATTGAATACATATATTTTAGGACTATAACTGTACTTATAAGAAGACAAGACAATCTTTAAACTACATATTTGTCTATCGTTTGTCCCAACTAACCTCCGAAACGACTGAACCTGAATAAATATTTCTAATCCTTTATAAAATTTGAAATCTTTCAAGAAACTTAAAAAAAACTTAAAAATTTACATTTTTACATTGCACAAGGAATACAAAACTATAGTAAATAGTCTTCAACCTAACATAAAAACATTGTACTCACTTTTCAGTTTTACTTTTGCTATCGGTCCGACAGCGCGGCGCGCGCCGACGCGACCACTCCTCGTCCTCGTCCGAACTCATCTCAAGCGATGGATACACTGTAACATACATACATTGTTTACTAGCTTTTTACCCGCGAATTCACTCGCCTCAAGATTGATTCTTAGACTCTTTTACCTTGACTTATTTTTGAAATAAGACGAAACACGTGTTTAATTATTTGCAGACGGAAATAATCCTGCAAATTTTTAAATTGATACATCTCTCTAATATAATTTGTACATACAGATTTTAAGCCCCTATTGCACCTCTTTAGGGGTTGAATTTTCAAAAATCCGTTCATAGCAGATGCCTTCATCATAATAACTGTTTGTGTGCCAAGTTTCAACCCAATCCGATCAGAGGTTAGAGCTATGAATAGATCAGCCATTCACCGTTTCCTTTTATATTAGTAGGGGAGCCCAAGAGGGGATTTTCTGTAGTTACTCGAGCGCGGCAGATTAACATAAAAGAGGTTACCTTGCACTCTATTGAGTACTTTCACCACAATATAAGTCTTCTATATAAAGGGGCGCGTCTAGGGAAGCCGATTAAAATATTTAAAAAATGTTTTGATAAGGTAGAAATACTTGAAACCGTCAGATTAAGGTGTGGTAGGCTAGTCACATCCTGAAAAGTGTCCAATTTAATAATCTGCCGATTTGCACAAGCCTAAGAGGCAAAAATCATCATAAACTTTATAGTCGATTTTTGCGTGCTAATGCTCCAAAAGTTATATTAAACGGATTATACTGAATTTAATTTTTATTTTAGAATAATTCAAACATATCTCACCATACTCCTCGTCTCGATGTACCTCCTTGATGACGTCTTCCTCATCGTAGTCCTCTTCCGCACTACTGGCGGCTTTACGCGACCGCGCTTTGCCACTCGTACTGCCACTGCTGGAAAATATCAATTTAACATCTTATTAAGTCTTTTAAATATATAATTATCTAGACTTTAATGCTAGGGGGATCAGGCAATAGCTACGCTGGAAAAGTGCGAGCAGAATAACATATCTTTAGAAAACTTGCTAGTTTCTCTCAGACATGAAGGTTTCCTCACGATGTTTTTTTCAACTTAGTTATTAGTTATTATTACCTTTCAACCCTCGAAGTGTCTGTTGTAGTCCTCTGCGGCGTCTCGACCGCGAGGCCAAACGTTCTGGAAGGCGCTTCATACCGCTCGCTTATGCTCAGCATCCCGGCGACTGCCGCGTCTTCACTGTGAATGGTCAAATGTGATCAATTATTATTTCATAGTATAATTCTAGTAGAAAATAGTATAACATAATAGTTTATATTTAATCTATATATACATGTATACAAATTTTAGAAATAAATCTTTAATTTTCAAATTAGCGAATCACTCTCTCTCCGCTCGGGTTCGTCCCTACTTACGATTTAACGTTTAGCATAGATGTCTCAAGAGATGAGATATTTTTCCGCAGTAAAACTTATCCTATATGCTGACCCGGATAACAACCAATCAACATCTAAATTTCATCAAAATCCCTTCAGTGTTTTTTTTCCGTAATTCGGTCACAGGCAGACAAAAAATCTTACCACTATAGATTCGGCTTCTGTATCGATAATAATGTCTATTTTCAATAAGATTATCCAAAAAATATTTAATGTACAGATTCGGCTTAGTTACAATTTTATTACTTATTATATTTTTAAAATAAGAGGAAAAAAGCCTGTCTACTGTAAAGTAAAACATGTGTTAGCAGTTTAAACAAAATGGGGACACTCACGTATCGTTGTCCGGCGGGTCGGTCTGCTCGTCGGCGAGCACGGAGGCCTGTATGAGCGACTCGATGCCGTTGGCGGGCGGGCGCGCCGGCGCCGGCGCCGCCGCAGCCCCCGCGCGGTAAGGCGCCGAGTTCGCGTTCGCTGGAATTCGAATAAAACATTAAATCTATAAATATATATATACACATATAATATATTTATACACAAAAAAGAAACAAAAAAAATCACTTATAAAAACATAATGAGATGAGAACATGACAATTTACAATAGACTACAAAAAGTTAATGATTGTATATTTGTTATTTATTTACATTAAATGTTAATACTTCTATTACTTAATTATACAGTCTAATAGTGACACATACCCTCGCTTTGCGTTTTTTAGCTTGAATGGTTAAAGCCATATAAAAGCCTCCAAACGTCCAAAAAAAAAATTTTTTTACAATTTTTTTAATACAGCATAACCCAGTCAGATTCATCACAATCGGGTCAATGGTTTAGGAACACATATAGGACAAACATACAAATATTCTTTTCTATTTGTATAGATAGTAATACACGTACTTACGGTATGAGTATGGCTAATGTATATACTTATGAATAAAGTTAATTTATGTATGGGGCATACCATTGGCTCGCTGCGCGTGCGTTCGTGGGCGCGGGCGTGGGGCGCGCCGCCTGGCCGGCGGGGGCGTCTCGTCTATATACAAATCAGCGTCCTCGTACTCGTACGTGCTGGACACGCGGCGCCGCACCGGCCGCTCCGACCGCCGCACGGGTGTCGCACCCGTAGCGCCCGTCGCACCCGCTGCACCCGTCGCACCCGCTGCACCCGTCGCACCCGACGCCGGCTTCGGCTCCACCACCTGAGTTATACAACTTCAGTAGGCATAGCTCACATATTAATTTTATTAACGTTTATTAAAATATATAATTTTCAAAATTTGAGTTTTCAAAACAATAATAGATGAAAATGGATCTATAATAACACGTTATAAAGTCCGTGTACGTGTACGTCACGTTTCAAATGTTGCTACGATATTTTGTACCATTTCATTGTGTTGTGTATTTTAAGACGATTTTGATAACTCTGAATGGCTTTTCGAGCTGCTAGTTCAAGCAATAATATAAGCAAATAATATTTACATAATTGGTAGTTTGATACTGTTGCGCGACGGCGGCGTCGTACGACGGCAGCTGCGTGTGCGCGAACGTGCTGCCGCTGTAGCTCGCCGGCTGCTGGGAATTCAAAAGGTATGAATCAATTAATTTTATATAATATATCTAAATCTATATAAATAAGCTTTATATTGCAACTGCCTCGGTGGGATAGTGGCATGCATGTACTGCTGCATATCCGGAGGACCTGATCTGAGTCACGGGTCGGGCCAAATTTAGATATTAAGTCTTTCTGTTAGAAAATCCCAGTAACGGTTTGGAGTTGGAAGTTGAAGGTTTTTCATCCTCATACCGAAGCAGTCTTGCGCTGGCTAGTCTCAACGCGATTGGCCGCTATGGCCGACATCGGTCAGGAGAACATAGTCATCATTTGTAAATTGTATGTATCTGATATGAACTTAGATTTAACCAGATCAATAGATTTAGTTCAGTAAAATGTCAACAATATTTTTTATATTTAACATTTTATGTTCTACTTTCTATTATGAATTAATATGTTAAAAAACCACTATAAAGAGTAACACTAAAATTTCGTCTTTGTTACCACTTCCGTGGTAGATACACAATTACTTATATTATAATTATTAGATAACACACTAAACCAGTTTATGAACTATATCCATTTCAAATTTCACTCATATAAGTTGACCGATTATACCGTGCAGAAGTAACAAACAGACTTTAGTATAATTATTACTAGCAAAAATCTTTCTTTCTCACATTTTAATTATATGTTTTAATACTTACCTATTTAACACGACTTTCTTTTATATATATAGATTATCACCTGGGCGACATAACTTCGATCGGTCTTTATTCTGTAAAATCGAGTTTTCGGAAGGACACCTAATACATAAAAAGCAAAACCTTATCTAAATACAAAGTTTGATCCAAATCGTTAGAGCCGTTTTCGAGATACATGAAATAAATTCATATAATATAATAAAATTGTGAGTCAAATCTGTACATTAAATATTTTTTGGAAAATCTTATTGACATATATAATAATAAATATACAATAAACGTCATTATTATCAATAGAGACGCCGAATCTATAGTTTTTAGAATGTTCCTCTGCCTAGGAATACCTCATGAGAAAACCACTGGAGAGATTTTGATGAAATTTGGTATAATGATATCTGGTTATCTGGGTCAACATATAGGTAATAGGATACTTTTTATACTATTATTATTATACTAAACGTTAAAACGTAAGTAGGGACGAACACAAGCAAGCGAGGGTGAATCGCTAGTTTAATATTATAAGATGTACACATAAACATGACCAATCAAAACTTACACTGCTGGTAACTTGAGCATGCACCGTGTCCTGATAGCGAGGGTACTCGTAGCCCAGCTCGGCCGGGTAGAACTGGTTGTAGGCCTTGCCCTCCGCGTACTGGTAGTCCGGCTGCATGTCTTGTGCTGAGTACATGCCTGCGGGACAAATGAAATTATTTAACGACTTACGTGCGTCCCTGGGTGTTTTCCAGAGACAAAAATAGTTATTGTAGGAGATACACACGTGCTATCACGGACTTTTACGTGAAATAGTATTTATGAAGGGTTTTAGATTTTCGCGCTGGAACATTTAATATTTCCGGAATATAACATGCCCTATATGTAGCGCTATAAATTTCTCTATCTTTCAAAAAAACTCTCAATACAATTGATTAAGCCATTGCAAAGACTACTCCCGACAAACGGACAAACAATTTAAAAAGATTGATTAGATACTGGTATTATAATAACTCTATGTATTTGAGAAAACACAGTTATTTTGAAATCATATACAGACACTGTTGGGTAAAGATAGAAAGGGTGGATGGACTACCTGGTTCGCCGTTGTCCCGCGTGGGTTCTTAAGTCGCGTTTTGTACACCAATCACTTTCACACAACACCGGGTGATTTGCTTAAAGTTTGTAATTGTAAAATAAGATAGTTTATTGCGTTTCGCACGATAACTTTGACGCGTAGTCTTAAATTTGATGGGGAGAATGCGGAGCTCGTCCCATCGCCGTACGCGGCCGTTGAAGCTTTTTTGAGTACTACCTCCAGGTAAGGAATATCGAAGGAGTTTAGGATGTGACGGTAGGAAGATATATATAGTGATGTCAAGTAAAGAATGTGTACCTAACATACCGCCCCCCAAAGAGCGGCTTAGCTCTTTCATTTGAACGAACCCCTTTGAAATTTGCTAAAAGGTTGACGTAAACAAAAGAGTAAAAAAAAAAAATATGTTGCTTACTAGAACTAAAGCTATTACTACTACCTAAACAAAAAAAAATAAGTATTGTTTTTATTAATTGAAAGATGGCAGCAAAGGGCAAAGCTTGACTACTGGTCTAAGTAGAGTGCCAGTAGAAGTTTTTAATTCTACGACGCGAACAGTGCCGTCAGAACCCGGGCAAATGCGAGTCACACGAGCTTTCTTCCAGTGAAGCGGTGGCAAGTTGGGATCCTTGATAAGAACTAAATCACCAACTTGAAAATTTGAAATCTTGGTAAGCCATTTAGGTCGCTGCTGTAGAGTATGTAGGTACTCAGCCTGCCAACGCCTCCAGAAGTGCTGAGTAATCTGGCGCAAAAGCTGCCATCGTTTGAGAGTATTAAAATTTATCTGCTCCAAGTCTTGCTCAGGCAAAGCCAATAGCGGCTGACCGATGATGAAGTGGCCGGGCGTTAAGACTTCTAGATCGTTAGGATCGCTACTTAGGGGATATAACGGTCGAGAATTCAACGCGGCTTCTATTTTGCTAAAAACAGTGATGAGCTCTTCAAAGAGAAGTGAGCGATTGCCTATAACACGAAGAAGAATAAGTTTTGCAGATTTAATCGCGCTCTCCCATAAACCGCCCATATGTGGACTGGCAGGAGGATTAAAATGCCATACAATTTGTCGACTGGCTAATGAATGTTTTATGTCATCATGCGAGTTTTTGAGTAATTGTGTAACTTCTTTCAAGTAGTTGTTAGCTCCAACAAAGTTGGTACCACAGTCACTGTAAACATCGGTGGGAAGACCCCTTCGCGATACGAAGCGATCAAAGCAAGCTAAAAAGGCGTCTGTCGACAGCTCGGAAACCAGTTCCAAGTGGACAGCTTTGGTGGTGAAACAAATCCATAAACATAAATATGCCTTAACAGATCGAGCGTTGCGCAGTCGCGAGATTTTCAGAAGAAAAGGACCTGCAAAATCCACTCCAACTCTTTGAAAGGGTCTGCAAGATGTGACTCGAGAAGGAGGTAAATCACTCATGAAAGGTTCAGTCGCCTTGGGACGTAATCTATAGCAATGTTGACATTGAAATATTTGCCGACGGATTGCACGGCGTGCTGATAAAATCCAAAATTTACGTTGCAGTAGATTTAAAAGAGTATTGACACCAGGGTGTAGGAATGCCCGGTGATAATGATCAATGAGCAAGCGAGTAACGTGATGTGCCTTCGGAAGCAAAAGTGGATGTTTAGCGTTAAATGATAAAGATGAGTTTACAATCCGACCACCTACTCTCAGCAAATTGTGTGAGTCAAGAAATGGATTAAGACGTCGAAGGCTATCTTTGAGAGGTTTCCCATTACGCAACAACGAAATTGTTGAAGAAAATTCTTCCGACTGTACAGTTGATATAATGGTATTCAAACTATCGTTCAATTCGGAAACAGATAGTGATCCCGTGTGTCGCTTAGTTGGATTGCGTGAATTATGCAAAAATCGCTTACACCAAGCTACAACAGCCTGTAGCTTGCGAAGGGAACTGAATTTGTGCAAGAAAGGTAAATCGACGCTAACCTTAGCAATGTGTGATATAGGGGATGGTAATTTCAGACCAGGTAAATTCGCTTGGCTCAACGTAGGTGTGTCTCCAGGCCATGTCGAAGAATCACCTTCAAGCCAAGGTGGAGACCACCACAAGATGGTTTTAGCTAGTTCAGAGGGGTAGAGACCTCGACTAGCGGCATCAGCAGGATTTAGTGATGATGGAACGTATCTCCAAATAGCTCTTGGTATTAAAGCTTGAATTTGGGACACTCGATTTCCTTCAAACGTTTGTAAAGTATGAGGAGAAGATTTAAGCCATGTGAGCACAATGCTGGAATCACACCAGGCCACTGTGCTGCTGATTTTAATTTTATGTTTTAGAGTTGTGATAATATGCTCAAGTAAGCGAGCGAGAAGATGTGCGCCGCACAATTCCAATTTGGGAATCGTGAGCTTTTGCTTGAGAGGAGCAACTCGAGACTTTGCCAACATTAGTTGGGCCGAAGTTTTACCATAAGAATTTTTGACGCGCAAGTAGACGCAAGCTGCGTACCCGCGTTCGGAAGCATCACTGAAACCGTGGAGTTCACAATCGCTTAGTTGATCAGTGAGTACCCAGCGTGGAATAACAATTTTGTTAAGATGATGAAAATTTGACATAAAAGATAGCCAAGCCTTTTGAATATCAGAAGGTAGAGAATCGTCCCAACCACATTTGAGAACCCAGAGCCTCTGCATAACATGTTTCGCATAGAAGGTTACAGGTGCTAGAAAACCACAAGGGTCATAAAGTCGGGCTATATTAGAAAGTATGCCTCGCATGGTGAGTGTATTGTTCATATCTGCAACCCGATAAATAAAACTATCATTAGAAGCACTCCAAGCCATGCCTAAGACTTTAAATATGTTATCGCAGTCGTGTTCAAACAGATAGGGCTGCTCGCAATGATCAGTAGGAAAGTCGCTTATGAATTCCTTACAGTTACTCGACCACTTACGCAAGAGAAAACCGCCCTGAGATAGGATACTGACCAGTACCTGCTGTAATTTCCTAGCAGATTCCACGGAATCACACCCGCTGACGATATCATCGACGAAAGTGTCGTTTAGCAGCACTTGAGAAGCTTCTGGATGTTGATTTGAATTAAGAGAAGCAAGCTCGTGTATAACACGGATTGCTTGGAAGGCAGAGCTTGAAACACCGTAGGTAACAGTGGTAAGCTCGTATTCCTTGAGAGGTTGGTCAGGAGATTCGCGCCAGAATATGGTTTGATATTTGCAGTCAGCATCGTCCATGCGCACCTGACGGTACATTTGTTTGATGTCACAGGTGAAGACGATCTTGTGAATCCTGAAGCGCATAATAATATCTTCAATATTTCTTTGCAATTTAGGCCCTGTCATTAGGACCTGATTTAACGAAACACCGGTTGAGCTGGAAGCCGAAGCGTCAAAAACTGCACGAAGCTTAGTCGTGCTACTAGATTCGCGCAGAACACCATGATGCGGAATGTAGTATCGCTCACTTGCGTCAGAGCAAGAAGCTTCACGCATATGACCCGAACTAAGATAGTCTCGCATAAACTCTACATAGAGTTCACGCAAGCGCGAATCCCTGATAAGCTTACGTTCCAAATTGTAGAAGCGTTTCAGGGCATTGATACGTGTGTCCCCCAAAGGCTTGTGATTCACCTTGAAGGGAAGACGAACTTGAAAACGACCAGTGTCGTCTCTACGATGCGTTTCGCAAAAGTGTTTTTCACATAGAACATCCTCAGGATCTTGAATAGGTTGACTGGAGAACTCTTCTGCTTCCCAGAACCTTGTAAGTGCCAGATTGAGGTCAAATGTGCAGGCCATCGACATCACATCTTGAACGTGTGACGATGCTGCGGGAGCTTTGCCCATAATTACCCATCCAAAGATAGAAGAGTAGGCAGTAGGCATGTTGTCACCTAGACTGAACCTTCTACCATCAAGGATCTGTTCGTACAAGTCAATGCCCAAGAGCAGATCGACTTGTCCAGGAATGATAAAACTTTTGTCTGCTAATACTAAATTGCTACATAGATTTAAAACTGATTTGTTAACTTGAACTGATGGCAGATTGTTTGTAATGCGCCTCAAAACAATAAAATCGGAAGTTAATGTTTTAGAAGCATTTATCAGAGGCTTAATATGACATGTTACCCTGCCTAGAGTTTGCTGAGGGGATGCTGCACCTAAACCAAAAATTGATGAAGATTGAGTTCGATGAAGTTTCAATTTTTGAGCTAAATTTTCTGTAATAATAGACACCTGAGAGCCACAATCAATTAATGCGCGAGCAATGTGAGTATAACCATTTACATCTAAAATTCCTACGAGGGCTGTACCAAGAAGCATAGTGGATGCACCATCGGCACCATGTAAAGTTTGAAGTTGGACTGCGGAACTAGTAGTCGACACAGCAGCTTCATTGCTATTAGGAGCTGATGCATGCTGAGTATAATTATTGTCAGCTGTGGCCTTTGAAATGTGCAATTTTGTGTGATGATGGCCATGACATATCTGACATACACTTCTAGAAGTACATTTTGAAACATGATGTGGTCTCAAGCAGTTAAAGCAAAGTTTATGTTGAATAACAAAAGATTTTCTTTGTTCCTGAGTCATAGCGTTAAATTTTAAACAGTTATATATGCTGTGCTTACTCTGGCAACAAGGGCAAGAATAATTTGCAATATAATTTAATTTAGGTTTCTCTTCAATAATATTTAATGAGTTATGTGTATTAGTTTTTGTATGAGAAGTTGAACCTGAAATGTTTTCTAATATTCTCAATTGAATTTCTAAAAATTGTATAAAATCATCAAATGTGGGAATATTTATGGGATTAATTTGTGACTCAAATTTACTTCTAAATTCAATAGGAATCTTTCTTAGTAATATATGTACTAATAAGAAACTCCATGACTTTACATTAAACTCTAAAGCAGTTAAAGCATTTGTATTTTCTTTAATAGTATTTAAAAATTTGTTTAAAGACTTAAAATGTATTTGTGTAAGGTTAGGTAAGTTAAGAATAGACTCAACATACTTGTCCGCTATGACTCTTTTGTTTTCATATCGCTCAGCCAACAATTTGTATGCAATATTATAGTTTTCATTAGATATAGTTAAGTTTTTGATAAGAGATAAAGGCTCCTTGTCTAATACACTCAGTAAATAATGCATTTTTTCAATTTCAGTTAACTTTTTGTTATTATGAATTAAACTGTTAAAAATAGAAATAAAATTTGGCCATTCTATATGAGCACCTGAGAATCTAGTTAATGATATTTTAGGTAAATGAAACTCGCAGCTAGGCACTGGAATTACTTGTGTATCACAATTTGCACTAGATTTTGACTCGAATAAAGTAGTATGATACACTTGTATTGAGTAAAACATGTCATTTGAAATATTATAATTCTTTTCAATTTCGCTACGCTTATCTTCGCCAAAAGAATCGATATTTGCTATTAAAAATGAGAAAGACTCCTCCATTTGCTGCCGGTATCTTTCTATATCCTTAAACCGTACAAGAAACTGTTGCTTTTCCTTCATGTTTACAGAAGGTTTTTTAATAATGTTACCACCCAAATCATATAACTGCTTTATATGATTTAGTGCTATTTCATATTTTACTAAATGCATTTTGAGGTCAGACATCGTCGATCGTTATATATTTTAATTACGTATTGTACAAATTACTAATATAGTATGATAGTATGCAAAATGTAAACAAAAGTGACAATTTGACAGATGACAAATAACAAGTGACAAATGACAAGACACTATTTGACATTGACGGTTGACCGATTCGCAATCCGGAATGAAACAGTGATGCCAATATGAAATTGTTAATTTTACGTATGCAATATGGCGTCAAGCGAAATGTAATAATTAGATGTATATTATTGTAGGTATATATGTAATGTTTTTTGATGGAAATAAGGATGATTTATTTAAGATGAGGTTTGATTACTAAAGGATATCCAGGATCTGAAGGACCATAAAAGGATGTTGGGTAAAGATAGAAAGGGTGGATGGACTACCTGGTTCGCCGTTGTCCCGCGTGGGTTCTTAAGTCGCGTTTTGTACACCAATCACTTTCACACAACACCGGGTGATTTGCTTAAAGTTTGTAATTGTAAAATAAGATAGTTTATTGCGTTTCGCACGATAACTTTGACGCGTAGTCTTAAATTTGATGGGGAGAATGCGGAGCTCGTCCCATCGCCGTACGCGGCCGTTGAAGCTTTTTTGAGTACTACCTCCAGGTAAGGAATATCGAAGGAGTTTAGGATGTGACGGTAGGAAGATATATATAGTGATGTCAAGTAAAGAATGTGTACCTAACAGACACTTTTATTTTATTTATATGTATAAAGACTTTAATAATAATTTAAACCCTTTTATATCAAATCCAAAATAATGACACATCAAACATGTGAAAACTTTCGAAATATAGTTAAAGTATCATTTACACACCTGCCCCATAATTCATGTCTTGACCCTCCAACCTGATGTTAGACTGAAGGTTGTCATTGGTGAAAAGTATCTGTTCCTCGTGGTAATCTCCAATGTCCTTCTTGGAGATGGTCCATTGCTGCACTGGCTTGAGCCGATCTGATCTTATTAGATGTGATTTAAGTATCGAATGTTCTGGTAAGCTGTATGGCGGTGGCTCTTCTCTTGATGATGAAGGGGAGTTACTGCAAGAAAGATTATTAAAATTATCTTTCATAATATTGAAAATTATTGTTCATTCATAATTCATATTTGTGTAAAAACATGTAAAATCTCTATAAAAATAACATTTTAATTAAACATATCTCTTGAGCGATTTTCTATCATTATATTTGAGAAAAGAGCAAAAACATCTACATAGAGCCAAATTAATAAAAAAATTATTGTTTGTCCCAATGAATGTAAAAAAATATAGAATTTTTAAAAAAGTAAAAAGATACTCACTTTAATTTAATTTTTAGCCCCGTTTTCTTATCCTGCCTATCCACATACCCATTTCCATCCTGGAATGTCACATCATCATAACTTTGATAAGCAAACTTTTCTGTGACTATCTCTTTACTGTCCAAAGCGTATTTCTCTGGAACACCATTCACAAACTTCACATCACTATTCACAAATTTCACATCATTGTTAACAAATTTCACATCACTGTTAACAAATTTAACACCACTGTTAACAAATTTCACATCACTATTCACAAATTTCTCCTCACTAGCAACATATTTCTCGTCACTAGTAACATATTTTACGTCTTGAACAAAACGGTCTGGATATAAAACCTCTTTATTATCTACATAATATTTTTCTGGATATATTTTTTCTTCTGCAAATTCCCCATTCGGTGTCATATGCATTATAGGCTTTGGTAGAGTTAACTTAATTGACTTCTTCGGCGTTGCTTGCTTTTTGCTCTGTGATTTTGTTGGCGATTGGTTCTTAACTTTAAAATCCTAAAATTAAAAAAGAGAATGCGATTATTTAACAACAAACACAATATTTTTCTATGCATATCTTTTAAATTGGTCTGTTAATACTTTTCCTAGCTATATAATTGGTCTAGTTTCTGGCATCCATCATCCAGATGTCTTGTATTCGAGTCTAGATCGGACAAGTTTTAGTTGTTGGATTTTTCTAACAGAACGCAATCTGGAGTTGGAAAGTGTTTGTTACACTCCAGGCAGACCACTTATCTCATCTTGAGTGCCGAGTTCTCATCCCACCGGACTGTCAGAGTGAAAGCCTATTCCTTTAAGAGACTAAGCTATTTTCAATAAGATTGGAAAGTGGTCGAAAACGATCAATACATTTTTTTTTAATTACCTTATCTTTAGTACTGGTGCTTCGTTTCTCTAACGTTCTCAGTTCCTTGCACAGCTCTCGAACCAACTGTCCAGAGTTCAGGCACTTTGGTACATTATCTCTTTTAGATGCATCCGTCTGTAAAATTGATAATTGTTTAAAACATTGTTTCAAACCATTTACTTTTCATACTAGTTATTGTAACTTATTGATCGACATATACAATTTTTTTATTATTTTTATTATAAATATAATCTTTACAGATAAATAAAATTAAAGTGTCTAAGATTACTAAATGCATATGGACTTATATAAAGTGCTTATTAGAAAAACACAATTTTTATTTTTTTTACTGTTTGTTCCGGCTAACTTCCGAAACGACTGGACCGAATTTGACGGGACTTTCACTGGCAGATAGCTGATGTTATTAAGGAGTAACTTAGGCTACTTTTATAGAAAACGAATTAGGCTTCCGCTCAAAATAAACGTATCTAGTGACGCACCCCAGCGTAGCGAATGTAAGTCGCTAGTTTAACAATAAAATTTGACACTTTTAATAAATACACTGTTATACTGTGCACTTATTTATTATTCACTTACACTTTTGAGGGCATGCCATTCTTTAAGTGCATTAGCTAAAATCTTAATGCCCCTCAAGAGCAGCGGAGGCAGTTCAGCAGGTGGAGTTGTTACACAGCTTTCACTTATTGTGAAGTCTTCATCCTGGAAACAAGCATTTTGATATAATGTAAAAAAACAATTTTTATCACAACTGATAAAACAGATACAAATAACAATTTTTAAATTTTTCATACGAGCGACTCACATTCCAAAGTAATCGTTAGTATGGAACAGATAAGACTATATATTATATTATATGATATATAGCCTATAGCCATCCTGAATAAATGAGCTATCTAAAAATAATTTTTCCAAATCGGATTAGTAGTTCCTGAGATTAGCGCTTTCAAACAAACAAACTTTGCCTCTTTATGATATTAGTATAGATACGAAAGTTTGGATGGATAGGTGTTTGTTACTCAATCACGCCAGAACGGCTAAACGGATCTGGATGAAATTCGGCACAGAGATAGATTATAGTCTCGAATAGCACATGGGTTACATTTTATCCCGGAAAAATGTACCATTCCCGTGGGATATCCATACTAACCATAAATCATACCTAGGCACGAACCCGAGTGAAGCAAGGGTACGTGATGTAGGCACAAATATATATATACATCCTCTTTATACTATTCTATTTTTGATTAAGACCTTTTTAATAGCCTTTTTTTATTAATTACGTTTTTGACAGATTTTAATAAAAAGTAAAAAGTGTGACATTAAAAAGGCGTTAAATTATATGCAAGATTTTTATTCCTATTTCAATTTATATTCGTATTACTGGAACGGCCATATTGTCACTATAGTCTGGCACACGAAAGTTGGGCCTGAGATTTAATTGAACTTATTTAAACTTATTTACGTATTTTACTTAGGAAAATCATACCTAAACTTAATATATATATATACATATATGTATATTTTTTTAAAGTATTAAGACAATTTATTAGTACTATACTTAGTGTTGCCATATGTATTTTTTTTTAAATTTGCCGCCCTTTTTCAGGCTTAACTTTCATGTGCCAGACTAGCCTAGTAGTGATTATGAAAGTGTACCCCACCTGCGTCTCCTCGTTGTGCCGGCGCAGCGCGGCCAGCAGCTGCGCGGCCGCGTACCAGTGCAGCGCCTCGAACAGCGGATAGCGGAACATCATCGGCGTCTCCACGCGACTCTCGATTTCGTAGATTCTGTTATAATGAAAACTATTTAAGGTGTCTGCCCACTACACCCAGCGCTGGATTTACACTCGGGGCACTCTGGGCTAGTGCCCAGGGCGGCAAAATTGGAGGGTGGGAAAAAAATTCTCTTCGCCTTATCAAAAATGCTTTTTTTATAAAAAAATTATTATATATATATTATTTCTTTGCATTTTTCAAAAAATTAAGAATGAAACAAAAACTTTCAACATTTTATTCAAAACTTCGATAATAGGGCGGCATTTTTTTACTATTTCTATCTATCTCTATATGACTCTTTAAGATCAGATAAGAGCTGAGTATCAGCTAATTTGAATCCTACTAAAATTAATTTTACTGCAAGTTTTAGACATTTGTACAGATTGTACGGTAATTTTTATATTAATAAAAATAAATACACCCACCCAGGTAGGTGTAGGCTCACCGCGTATTTTATGTACAATACACAATTTGTTGCTCTAATAAGTATCAGGAGTTTTGCACAGTCACAATGGATAAAATATCCAAGGATATATATGCTTTAACTTATGTTCATCTTAAAGTACACATCATAAAAAACCAATACTTTAAGAACTATTCTATTACAGTTCTAACGTACATAGCATTATATATAATATAACTGGCAGTGGTAGCCCAGTGGTGTTTGGCTTGCTTGGGAAACGTGAAGCGAGTTCAAATCCCTTTCTTGCATCTCTGATATTTTCATGTGCAAATCATTTTCGACATAATTACAACTTGATTTACGATGAAAGAAAACATTGTGAAGAGACCTACATGTCTGACAGAACCTAGTAAGTTTCCGAAAGACATGCTCAGTCCGTTCGCACTTGTCCCATGTGGTGGATTATGGTCTGATCCCCCTCATATTGAAGGTAAGTCTGTGCCCAACAGTGGGACATTTAAAAGGGCTGAACGCATTTAAATATTTACAACTTACTGTAACTGCATTTCAATAGCATATGAATGCAACAGATTCCCTCCAAACACGAGCGAGTCGCACGGTGTGTACACTGCATGTATCCAGCCTGTCGGTATGAAGAGGGTCTCCCCTGGACCCAATTCTGCTGTTCCATACCATTCCACCTGAAAACGAGACGTTGAAACGCTATTTTTCATATAAATATTTAACTTAAAACCATAAATAGTTATTATTAAAATTATTAAATAATAGAAAAATTTAAGGACAGTCTGTTTTTTTGAATTTATACATATAATAAAATAGTAACTAAGCTCAATCTGTACATTATATATGTTTTGAAAAATCTTATTTAAATAAACATTATTATCGATACAGAGGCCAAATCTATAGTTTTTAGGATTTTTGTCTGTCTGTCTGTGACCGCAACCCGGAATTATATGAACAATAAATTGACAATAATCAGCTTACCATATCCCCAAAGAATCGTTCACTTTGATTATTTGCAGCACTCCACTGCTGGTACAGCGCGAGATTTGTAGATGTTGGCGGTATCAAGTAGAATATCTGTAAACAATTAACAAACAATAATTAAAACAAAACAATAATAAAATTACATACAATTCATATATCTTTCATTACATATGCATTATAAATGCGAAACTTTGTGTATGTATTTTAGATTTTTACTTCTTAAGACTATAATGCTTTACCTATTTAATAGAAGTTCTGATTAGTGGTGCTATTGATTCAACGCTAGTGATGCAGCAGTTAAAACCCAGCATTATTTATATGCAGAGAAAGTTTTTTATTGTGAACACGACCATCTTTATTTAATTAATGATTTTAGTCTAATGATATTAAAAAGAGGAAAGATTTTTTGGTTTGTTTGTTTGTATCGAATAAGCTCCGAAACTACCTAACCGATTTAAATGAAATTTGGTAATAAGGTAGTTTGAGACCCTGGGAAGGATATAGGATAGTTTTATCCCAGAAATCATCCCTTAAGGGGGTGAAAATGGGGATGAAAGTTTGTTTGTATGGGGAATCAATCTAGGGACGATCCCGAGCAAACCGAAGGAGAGTAGCTAGTCCTACCAAGTCCAATTCTTTTAGTCTAATATGACATCAACTGTACTTTCTCCCATACAGCACATGGTACCAGACGGTTGTTCCACCAACTTCTAGTACTCATACCATCTGTAACCTTCAGTCACATACATGATACACCCATTTCCAGTACATACACACAAGAGTGACCGAGCACCGACCTTCCTGCCGTGCAGCACGTGGTACCAGACGGTGGTGCCGCCGAAGTCGACGTGGAAGTCGGTGTAGGAGGCGGCGGCCGACATGAGGCAGTAGCGCTGCACGGCGGGGCGCGCCGGCTCGCCGCCCGCCGGCCACGCCGCGCGCGCCCAGTCCAGCCGCCGCGCCACGCCCGGCGGCTCCACCAGGCTGCACATGCTGCGAAACATATACATTGTTTACTAGTCGTCACCCCTCTGCTTTGATGGCCGTAATTCTTAATGTATGTCAGTCTTAATGTACATTTCGCCCAGAGACACATTGGGAGGCACGAGGTGTACAGTGCGGGTTAATCCTGGTACTTCTGTGACAGCAGAGAGGACTGTGGAGCATCCCCATGGTTGTTGTGGTCTGCTTCGGCAGACCTGCCTTTGGGGCGTCATGGTTAAGTGCGTAAGCAAACCTGCGACGCCCCATTAAGACGGGGGAGGTTCCGTTGGATTTTAATGGGTAGTACTGGCTTTGCCGGTGAGTCCCACATAACCACCTGTATGTATACAGGTGGTATGCCTAAATACATTTCGCAACATTAAAAAAAAATCTTATGACATGACCTCCCATAGTCATAACACTACATATTCTATTCTATAAGAAACTATCGTAAATCTCAAGATTTTATTCCATTGTTTTTTTTTATTTAAAATAAATAAAATATTACTCACTTAGTATCTGTAAATTCCAAACTAAGCACATTAAGCACTTTCTCATCACGATGCTCTGGGGGTGTCTCAAAATAATCCACAAAATCAGCAAGGGGCATGCGCAGAGTTGATTGTTTGCGAACATCTATAACTTCCACCTGCAAAACAATTACATAATATAATATTCAGCTCATTATTAGGGTTTCATACACGAAGGGTGCCAACGGGACTCTATTACTAAGTCTGTCTGTCTGCGGGTTGTACATACATAACTCTAGAACTATAGTAGGTCGAGAGTTGGGTTTCAAAGTATGTATGTCTTTTGCCGCTATAACAACAAATAATTAAAAATCAAGATGGCTAATTTTAAAAAGGCCGCCATAACAATTAGAAAAAAATCTCTCATTAAGTGTTATATGTTGTATGATGGTACAGAACCCTTCATCAGTCATGAGCAAGTCCAACTCGCTAATGCTAAAATTCCATACTATTGTCAATTGCATATAATAAAAAAAATAGATTTTAATAAAAAAATTACATTATTATAATCCATAAAAAAATATAAATGAAAATAGAAGCTAGAAAAGACAATTGTTTTAGAAAAAAATTACACACCCTATAATATTGCTTAAAGTCTAGATTTTTCTATTTAAGTTTAATAAATACAATCATTAGTACACCATTCAAGTGATGAGTATAAACGTACCTCCAACTGTGCACCACAATATCTAAGCACAGATCTAACAGTAAACGTGGCCGCATTGGGGATCTTCATGTCGAGACCCTCTGTTGTGTTAAAGATCACTGGACGAGTGAATCCTGTAACCAGATTTAACCTAGTTAGTATGTCAATAAATATAAATATGTTGGGACATTAACACACAGCACCATCTTGTACCATGGTAAGCTACGAGACTTGTTTTGTGGATACCAGATAGTTAATACACTACACATATATAACTTTAAATACATACATATTATAAATATAGACACCCATGACTGGAGTACAATCATTCATGCTTATAACACAAATAAATGCCCCCAGCGAGACTCGAAACCGCGACCATTGGCCTAGCAAATAGGGTCACAACAAACTGAGCTAATAATACTATAATCTCCCTTCGAGTCTTTTTCTTATTTGCTGTAATATTCTATGAAACAGGGACTTGATATACCAGGCAGTAAATTGTATAAAGAAAAATCAAGTCCTTATGCGAATAAAAGATCAGTAAACAATCAATTTTCCATTAATAATATCGTGTAATATGTATTAAATATTACTTACATATTTGTTATTTTATAAATCTCATAAATATGAAAACCAATTAAAAAAATAATTGATCACAAAAAATCTCAATAAAAAATTTACATAACATCAGCTGTTGCCAACAAAATCTAAAAATTATTTTTCATCACATTTGGCAAAACTGCCAAAAAATGTTATCTTGTAGATTTTTTTTCAACTAAATAAATAATTGGCGCATACGGCACATATACATTAATTTTAACATGAGCTTTTAATTAAGGAACAATATTTTAAACTATATGTTTAAATAAAATAGTGATTTATCATTATTTCACTCGGATCTTCATTACACCACATAACTTTCTGCAAATTGAATTCCAAGTAGACATTTTAATTTAAACATAAACATTAAATCCCATTATTATTATTATTCATATTATAAATGCAAAAGTTTGGATGGATGGATGTTTGTTACTCAATCACTCCAGAATGACTGAATGGATCTGGATGGAATTTGGCAGAGATAGATTATAGCCTTTTTATTCCGGAAAAATGTACGGTTCCCGTGGGATAATTTGTTTTTATTATTTACTAGGGACGAACCCATGCCATGCAAACTAGTACATCCCATATATAGATTTAAAGATGTGAATTTTATGTGCAAATAGTTAAAAGACAAAATGAATGCTCATACATACACTTCACTCAATTCTCTCAGAAAGAGAAGAAAATACTATATATCTACAACATATAATTTTTTATTTGGCATGCTGTAGTATAAATTGTTTTGATGCATTTGAATATAAGTATATTTAGTTATAGCAGTGCAAGTAACATAAACATATTCAAAATTCCTATGAATTAATGTATTTCTATATAGTCTATACTTGTAATTTTTTTCTACATAACTCTTTAGTAACTGTTAAATAACCTAACTTCTCAATTTGCAGTCAATGAATAATAAAAGTCTGTATGTATAGCATTATTCACTTACCATTATCCCTCACAAACTCCTCTGTAAAGTGCTGCGGTCTCATCCTTTGCAACGAAGCAGCAGTGGGTCTCAGTGGTCGTGCGGCCAGCGCACGCACCCACGCCGGCGTCCCAGCCTGAGAGGGACGGGTCTCCGCACCAATCTCGTATCTGTCCGCTCGATGGTTGTTTGTGGGGATTTTCACTGAAAATTCATTTGTTTATATAATAATCTATTACTACTACTAACTTCCATAAACCCCTAAAATTAAACATGATTTAAAAAAAACAACAATAATATAACAGAAATATATAACAGAAATATCAACTTATATTAAAGACCTCTTTGCTATTTATATATTTAGAAAAAAAAATTTTTAGAGTTAACGTAAGCTAGTCCAAAAAAACCTTAAGATATTTTTGATTTTGTTAGACACATTACTATGTTCAAAGCCCAAAATAAAACACCCATAGTTAAAATAAAACTAATACTAATACTAAATTATATATTACAATACTATTGACTCACCCTCGCTTTTCGCATTTACTCGGGTTCATTCCTAGATGATTCTTTAAATCGACATAACGTTTTTATTTATAAACCGATTGAAATAAAGAAATACAATAAATAAATATATTTAAGTGAAGCACAGTAAATTAGTGTTCACACAAATCGGCTGTTGTTTTTGAGATTCGTGCACACAAATGCATAGTCAAAAAGACAAAAATTCTAAAAATCAATGTTTGGGTTCTATTGCTTTAATAAAGACCCCCAGTAATATTTTTCTCACATATCTTCCATGTACAGATAGCGATGAGTTATACTTTTATTATATGTATTTGTACATACATTGTATCATAATTGCAAGAATATATTATCTTTTAATATATTAAATGAGAAATTGTTCAGTACATCATGCTATTTTTTTTTTTTTTTTTTTTTAATCTATTTTTATTTAGGGACTTCTTAGCAACAAAGCTAAATGTCAGTCCCATCGTTCCCTTAAGACATGTATACCACTAATAATACTAGTACCTCTAATTATAACTTATTTTAACTTAAATTGATATACAGTTTTGGCTATCTCTGAGTTAGGTTTAGACAGTGCGCTTTGAAAAACTCCCACATCATTCCAGCAAACGTTAAAACGGCGCATCAGCTCCTGTCTCCTATCCGCGTTACGAACACATTCCACTAAGAAATGATGCACATCTTCCTCTACACCGCATAAATCACAATTTGGAGAATTAGATTTTTTCATTAGAAACATAAATCTGTTAAGTGGAACGTGCCCCGAACGCAGCCTAAGAGCCATAACAATTTGTTGACGCGTCAACCCTGAGTCGCAGAACCACGGGATATGAGGAGGCTCACTTTGTATAGTCTTATACCATATTCCCTTAAGTTTTGATCTTTCGTCAAAGTACTTTTTAAAGCGGTTTACACATTCTTGTTTATATTTAACTAAAAAATCAGAATAATTTGGTCTTAAATTTATAACTTTCCCTATGAGAGGAGCTTGTTTTGCAAGAATATCAGCCTCCTCGTTTCCCGTTAGTCCAATGTGAGAGGGAATCCATTGCAATTTTAAAGACTTTCCGATAGATTGTATTTTAGTTAATTCATGTAAAATTTTGTAGGCTACAGATACTCCCCTTGTTCCTCTTACGCAACTCATAAGATGCAGTATAGCACTTTCGCTGTCTGTAAAAATCACAATGTTATCTCTATACACATCTCTAGAATAACGTAAAGCCTCCAAAATTGCAACAAGCTCCACAGTCATTATTGATGTATTAGCAGTTATTTTAAACATTTTATACATCATGCTATAATATATAATAATATTGAAATAATTAGATGTAGTATAATCTAAATGCAAACAAAAACATTTGTCTAACGATTGGTTAACAGATGACATGGCAAATTCAAACATTTGCCTACATTGCAAGAGTCACCTTGAGATTAATTTTTGGAAATGATAAAAAATATATATGTATTTCCTGATATAATTGTGTCATTAGTTATGAAACTAGCTAATGCCTATGGCTGAAGCTATGTTGTGCATGTAAAATTAGTTTTATGATCACCTACACATGATCACGCTCTAAATAGCAACTTGAGAGACTGTGTATTTTGGATCAAATCAATAATTATGTTTGTATGGAGCTGTACGAAATAAAAATCAAAAATTCAATAATATCCTCCTTTAGTATGATCAGACAAATATTTTTAGTTGTAATTTTTTTTAGTTTAGCTATAAGTGCCTTCATGTGTTAAGATTTCTATTTATATATTGAATAATACTAATATAACATTTTTTTAACATTTTCCTTAATATTAGGCATCATAATAAAAAAATCTGCAGGAAGTAAATTGAGTTAGTTAAGATCATTTATAAGAATGAATCCTCTTATTTCACATATTAAAAACCAAAGTATTATACTGATTATTTACAAACAAAAATTATACTTAATTAATAGCTTTGAGCATAAACTTAATTGATGTAGCCTTTATTTTGTTAATGACTTCCCTCATTTTCCATTATTATATTTTTACTATGAATTATTTAGGGTCATGAACCAAAAACCAAAAGTAAAATAGATAACAAAAATAATTAATTAGTACTTACACACAGAAGGTCCATAGGTCTGCGCACATTTTGGACAATGGTACTTGTCTATATCATCAGAATGATATATTTTCACATCAACACAACTGGAAATCAAATACAATAATATTTCTTAAAACAAAACACGTGTTTATTTATATTTCTACATGCGTATATACACAGACAGTTAATATTTAATAAAATAATTATTTCATTTGAACTTCATATTTTTTAAAATAATATATGTTGCTTAATTAGTAAAATAAATAGAAATTATGGTTTTATTTTTAGAAATAAGGAGACAAAGCGCTAATATGGAAAACGCGCATTGTTGGTCCCATGGTGACCATTAGCATAAACAAACTATAACGCTTACAGAACATCACAAAATTCACTATAATTGAGTAGCACTTGATATCCAACTAAATAGTAATAAAGCAATTTCGTTTTAAGAGGTAAAATTGAGGTAATTTTATAAAAACATTTCTTCACAACATGATGGCCGAACAGCCGAGTGCTGTCAAATTCTTTTAAATATTTTTCACACACAAATACGTTTTTACAGCAAAACTTTATTATTTTCCACTTTACCTTCCATGAAACCACTCGCGGCAGCAGTCACATTCTATCATAAATTGTCCAATATTATATGGTTGACCACACAAACAATAGGTTTCCTTCGATGACGCCATTTTGATGGCGAATAGACAATTCTCTTATTTTTTCTCCACGTCGTTTAGGGTGGCCATTATAAAGTCATTATGGAATCATAGACTAAATCATATATTAAAAATAAAAAAGTTCGTAATGAGTTGAATGATTAAAGATTTGTATATAAAAAAACACTTTATAAAGTAGCAAAATTAATTTTAATTTTTGCAAAAAATAATAAATGGTTGTATGCTTTTTAATACATGAACGCCTGTCTATTCTAAATGAGCAAAATAAAGTGCGCTGCGATATCTGATAATATAGATTATTATAATAGTGATTTTCTATTGTTAAAATATATCTCCCTCCGTTGCTCTTCTATTAGACTACATATTACGTAATATATTTTTACATTTCTTAGGACATATATCTTGCAACGACGCCATAAAAAAATGAGAACTACTTTTTTGGTTAATAACAATACTTTACCTTATGAATTAATTTTAATAGTTTTTATTTATTCATCATCATCATCATCATCATGTTCAGCCTGTTTTCGTCCACTGCTGGACATAGGCCTCTCCTATGGCACGCCACTGAGCTCGATCTTCAGCTCTACGCATCCAACCGCTGCCAGCCAGTTTACGTATGTCGTCGCTCCACCTAGCTGGAGGGCGTCCTACACTACGTTTGCCGAGCCGTGGTCTCCACTCTAGAACCCGTCTACTCCAACGGTCATCGGTTCTGCGACATATGTGACCAGCCCACTGCCACTTCAACTTGCTAATTCTTTGGGCTATGTCGATGACTCTGGTTCTCTGTCGGATCTCTTCATTTCGAATCCGATCCTTCAGAGAAACTCTGAGCATAGCCCTCTCCATAGCACGCTGAGCGACCTTAAATTGGTGGACCAATCGCACCGTCAGTGTCCACGTCTCGGCTCCGTATGTCATAACAGGTAGGACGCACTCGTTAAAGACCTTTGTCTTTAAGCTTTGTGGTATTTGCGACGAAAAGACCCGACGAAGTTTATTGAATGCTGCCCATCCCAGCTGTATTCTTCTTTGAGCTTCTTTCTCGAAGTAGTTTTTACTGACTTGCAGTAATTGCCCAAGGTAGATGTAGTCTTGTACTACTTCGAGAGTTGTTCCATTGAGAGCAATCGGTCCCGGTGTTACATGTGTATTGAACATGACCTTGGTTTTGTCCAAATTCATCCGGAGACCGATGTGTTTTGAAGAATCAGCTAGGCTTTGCAGCATGTGTTGCAGGTCTTCCACGGTTTCAGCCATGATGACGATGTCGTCTGCAAATCTCAAGTGCGAAATGTACTCACCGTTTATGTTTATTCCACGTCCTTTCCAGTCCAGACTCTTAAACATATCCTCCAGTGCAGTTGTGAACAATTTGGGGGAAATTACGTCCCCTTGTCTCACTCCTCGATGCAGAAAGATAGGTTCAGACTGCTGGTTCTGGACTTGGACGGACATTGTTGCGGCGTCATACAAACATTTCAACACTTGTATATATCGCCAATCGACTTGGCACCGTTGCAAAGACTCTAAAACAGACCAGGTTTCGATAGTGTCAAAGGCTTTCTCATAGTCTACAAATGCTAGACACAAGGGCTCATTATACTCTTCTTGCTTCTGTATAATCTGCCGCACTGTGTGAATGTGATCTATGGTGCCGTATCCACTTCGAAAACCAGCCTGTTCAGAGGGTTGGAAATCGTCGAGTCTACGCGTGAGACGATTCGTGATAACTCTAGAAAACAACTTATAGATATGGCTTAAGAGAGAGATAGGTCGATAGTTTTTCAGCAGGGTTTTGTCACCCTTTTTGAAGAACAAGACGACCAAACTCGTGCTCCATGCCTAAGGAGTTCTCCCCGAAAAGAGGACGGAATTAAATAAGCGCTGGAGTTGCTTTAGCGCAGGAGTTCCACCTGCTTTTAGGAGCTCCGTTGTAATTCCATCCTCCCCGGGGGCTTTTCCATTTTTAAGTTGTTTTAGAGCCAACACGATTTCGTCTAGGCTGACTTCTGGCAGGTCTTCTGTGTAGTGGCGGGTAAGCGTGGCTCTGGGATCTTCGTTATTAGACGTGGGACGGGGCGCTTGCGATGTATATAGGCGACCATAGAAGTCCTGAACTTCTTTCAGAATCTCCGGCTTAGAGACGACGACTTTTCCGCTAGTTGTGGTCAGCCTCGTCAGATGGCTACGTCCCAGCTTCTGAACAAAGACTTTGGACCCCCGATTTTTCTCAATAGCTTCCTTGATGGAGCATGTATTGGAGTTTCGGAGGTTACGTCTTACCAGCTTCGATATTCTTTTGTTCAAAGCTCGCTGGTTTGACGGAGTAACTGCGGTATCTTCACGTCGCTTCTTCATTAGCTGCAGAGATTCCTCAGAGAGTTTGGACTTCTTACCGGTGCGTTGCATCTTGCAGATCTTAGTCCCTTCTTCCCGGAGAATACCCACTACTTGGTCGAGGTCTTGGTCAATGTCAACGTCTATTGTGGTTTCCAGGGCAGCGAATCGGTTCTCCAGTTTTAGCTGGAACGTTTCAGACCCAGCAGGGATTTGAAGCATATTGGGCCGGAGCGTAGACTTTATCAAACGGTCCCGTTCAAGCTTGTAATCAATACCTAGAGTGCCTCGGACGAGTCGGTGATCGCTTCCGGTGTTGAACCTATTGATCACGGAGACATCTCTAAATATGCGCTTCTTGTCCGTCATAATAAAGTCTATCTCATTTTTTGTCATAGAATCGGGGCTTCGCCAGGTCCACTTTCGGTGGGTCTGTTTCTTAAAGAAGGAATTCATCAAGAACAACCCCTCTTTTTCCAGAAAGTTGACAAGCATTTGCCCCCTATGATTTCTGCTTCCAAATCCATGTGGCCCTACTACCGATTCACCGCTTGTTTGTACTCCCACTTTTGCGTTGAGGTCCCCCATGACAACATTAAAGTGGGCCTTATAGGTGGTATGTAAGGCTTTTGAGATATCTTCATACATCTCTTCCACTTCGTCATCCGAGTGTGTCCAGGTCGGCGCGTACACTTGGATAACCTTGAGGCTATACCTCTCGGTTAGCTTGATCACAAGGTATGCAACCCTTGGTGATACACTGGAGATTTCTATAACGTTGCCAGATAGACCCTTGTGAATTAAGAACCCGACACCGCCTTGGGATGGTTGGTCTCCCTCTCTAAAATACATAAGATGGCCCGATTCTAAAGTTACGGTGTCCTCTCCCTTTCTTCGAACTTCACATAACCCCAGGATGTGCCACCTTATGTTTTTTAGTTCTTCCTCTAATTGTGCCAGATGTTCGTCGAGCCGTAGCGTGCGTCCATTAAACGTAGCCAGCGTCAGTCGTTGTTGGCGGCCTACCGTAGCCCGGGGATTCTTAGCACCCCCTACCCCGCCGTTACCATGGCCGCCGCCTTGGCCAGGAATAGCGAGGCGACCGGGAACTAGGGGCCGTTTCGTTCGTAAGCTTGCCATAGATTGTTATGCCCATAATCGCCACGCTGGGCAGGCGGGTTGGCGATCGCAGTGCGTAGCTTCTTGTACCGGTGACGCTGCTGCCCGTCACAGGTCCATGGCATTTAACTACGCTGTTTTCCAGAGGTTATACCGCCGTCTATTCGGTCGTCAGAGCCTCGTTCGTTGTTTAGCAGGATGCACCGCGTGCAGGTGAGGTTGACTTGGAGTACTGAGGTGGAATTTGTACTCCCTTACATCCCATTTTATTTATTAATACATTTATTTTATTTCTTCATATATAATATGTTATGTATGTAGTATGTGCTAAACAAAAAAGAAATAACAGCTTTCTAAAATCAAGTTTTCCTATACTATATTTTCCATATATAGGTATTATTTATATTTTATAACAATATTATGCAATAACTTCTATAAACTTTAAAACACCTACAATTTATATAAACAACTGCTTTATATTTTCTCAGTTTGAATAAAAAAAATACCTTGTAGAATGAATAATTGTTTAGTTCCAAAAGAAATATGATTTTTCAACTCGTTTCTCCTATCTTGTAATTTAGATAATTTATAATTAGATAACGGCTTTTAGTTTTTTGATCCCACAACTTTAAGTGGCGGCTGTGTATCCTAAGTAACATTTTTGAGAAGATGCCTGAAGTACCGATCATACGGGTAAAACCACGGAAGTGAAAATTATCTTCCGTGGTTAAAACATTTGTGCATAGTTTTGCTCTAATGTTACTCATAATTCATAAACCTATTATCTACTATTGATTTAATTTTCATGAATTTTTGTATAAGTAATTTTCAATAACCACTTGCAACCCTTAAATCTAACTAATATTATAAATGTGAAAGTTAAGATAGATGTTTGTTTACCTATTACTCAATCAAGCCAGAACGGCTGAACGGATCTGGATTATATTTTGCACAGAGATAGATTATAGTCTGGACTAGCCATTTTATTTTAATCCTGGAAAACTATAGGTACGGTTCCCATGGGATAGATTTGTTTTTGTTTTAAATAAATAAATGTAAACTAAGTACTAAATGTATTTATTTCTTGAATTACAATATTAACGAGTGCGTGCTATTTGGTGTCACATTTTTTGCCTAGTCCATTGTATTCAATGAAATCTGTAGTCGGTAATCTAAATATACATTTTATTGTAATAACATAATACTCTTTTTATGACCGACAAACAATAGTTTGTTAGGTTTTGTTCGAAGTTGTAAAAAAATATTTTTACGGATATCTACACTGTTATTACAATTCTACTGTACATATAGACAGGAGATAAGTACTTGTATATATAGAGATAGCAGTTCTAAGTACCTAGGTGCAACCATGCAGGCACTCTCCTACGCACGACATTAAGAATCTCTATCACGAATTACATATATACAGTGATTCAATACAGCCTTCAACTAAGTAGGTAATTCAGAGTGTAGCAAGTGATGTCGGCAATTTGACTGATAAGCATCTTAGAAGTGGGGAATTTTATACATTAACAATTTGCTTAATTTTG